TACATTACATTACATTACATTACATTACATTACATTACATTACATTACATTACAGTACAAACAAACATAGCATACACAAACACGCAACATACATACAGACATACCAACGTTACACTACATTACATTACATTGCGCTACATCACACTACATCATATTACATCACATTCAAGCATACTTACACACATACATGCACACATACATACTTACATACACACATGCGCCTACATTCATGTGTAGATACATACATACATACATACATACACAAACACAACATACAGACATACAGACCTACCTACATACATACATACAAACTCACATACAGACACACACACATATAGACGTAGCGATACATACACAAAAACTACATTGAAACATACGGAACCCACATACATACGAACGCACATACATACATACATACAAACATACATGCATACATACATACCAACATACATACACGCATACATAACGTAACGTAGCATAACACAACGTAAAATAGTGTAACGTAACATAACATAACATAAGACACGTAACATACATAACAACATACAAGCGCACACAACATACCAAACATACAGGACATACTCAAATATATATATATATATATTATATGCTACATTACATACATCCAACCCTTCAGCAACGATTGGAACAGCTAGGCATCAAGCCCCCTCCACCAACCCGCTGAGACAGAGATGGACATGGCATTGAAGCTCATGCAAAGCTGAAGTCTCCGCTCTTCGAGACCTTCCCACAGGAAGCAAGTTCTTCAACAGAAGATCGATTCCACAAAGAAGACCTTTGCTGCGATGCTCGAAGAGATGAAGGGCATCCAACAAAATTGGACTGAAAAAGGGGCCTTAACACCCTCGGGGTGACTCTTTCTGATGATCAGAAAGCACAGTTGCAGACAATGTTGAAAAGGCCCACAGGAACGCGGGGGATGAAGAAGCCGAGCGGCGCAACACAGAGTCTCCGAGGACATGTCTAACCCCACGCACGTTTTTCCCCATCTTCATGCTCAAGCTCCACTTTTCACTCGCGGATCAGACCCATTCGCTTCAGGGCCCCCCTCGAAGTTTGGGAGCAGTGGGAAAGGGACCATGCAGAGCTGTTCTTTGAGCCCAAGTCTGCAAAAGAGGGAACGGCGTTGTCAAAAGCCCTGCAACGGGATTTTAAACGACATCTGATCTTCAGGGTGGAACCAGCCAGGCTAGGGGCACTGCGTTCTTCTACCATATTGCACTTTGCTGGACCCCGCAATGCTCAGCATCGTGGAAGAAGATGCACCCACGACAGTTTTCGACATAGAGGGTCAGCAAGCCCTCTACAATCTTTGCAAGGCATCATGCCAGACCTATCCGTCATCATCGCGAGACGCTGACCCTCATCTTCAGCAACATCACTTCCTTTGGACCGCGTGTGCAAGATTGGATTTGGACCAAAGGAGACCGTCTGAGTGTTTCATCACCCTGCATGGCCCCAGGCACCTCACACACCAGGCCTTCACCTACACCAAAGAGGGCAATGGGTGGACGCGATTCCAGAAGCAGAACCTCATGATTCGTGTGGAGCTGCTTGAACCTCTCCGCCTCCATTGCTGGGCCAATTCATTTGGAGGTTGACTGGGATGTCCCATGGAAGCCTGATTGTGGTGTGGTTGTCACCTTTTCACAATGATGTTCCTGCACTTCCGGTTCCACAGCTTCAGAGGTTTTCTCCCAATTGAAATTCTACTCAGCTCCCGGCTGCTTGGACCAGTTTTTGGGAAAATGATCTTTCTACATCGTGGGCGCGCAGATCACTGGTCTGGGCTCTGATCTCGCCAGGCGGCTACACCTCACTCACCTCCTGAACTCACCCACCACGGGCCGGGCTCAAGAATCTCTTTTTGTATGAAGCTCGTACGGTTGATCTTGCGGCTCCCTACTGGGAGAAGACGAAGGTCAGGATCAACGTCGTCCACCAGAATCCTCAGTCCAAGGTCGTTCGAGATCTCGCGCGTATGCTGGCATCTCTTAAGGATCATGCCTCGGATGACATGGAGCAGGACCTCTTTCGATCGTGGTCACTTGAGCATCCTGAGAATGAACCCGTGTGGCCATCAAGAAGGAAATTGCCCAGCAAGAACAAAGAGCCCAGCGGTGGCGAATTCAAGGAATGGTTGGAAAAGGCTCGAGGTCTTTGTCGGAGTTTGCGCCAGAAGAATTGTCCACGGCAGCGACCTTTTCAAAACCTCCCTGTACAAGATCGTCACGAAGCTCGAGAACGCCAACGGGGAGACATCTGGCAACCTCTGCAAGCTCCATGCCAGATCCGAGGGTTGGCATGCCCTACATCACGGGCAACTCCCTATACCATTGACTCCTATGCGGCTTCAGCGGCTTTTCGGAGACTTCCAAACAAAGCGGCCGGGCCTGATGGAATCTCATACAACTTCTGGAATCGTTTGCCATATCCAGCGGTCGACGTGCTGGCTGGAAAGAGAAGGCACCTTGGCAATTCAAGTGCGAGTCACCAACATTGCGCTCGCGCCAAAGAATGCCAAGGTAGCAAGGGCCATAGCTGTGACGGCATCAAGGCGTGGTCCAACACACCGTTTACGTTCCTGAAGAGGGCGTGAGCACCTTTGAATGGCATGATTTGGGCGTCGTCCGCGTCAGGCCATGTATGCAGGGCGGCGGTGGCACCTACGTGTGGTGACAAACGGCGCAAGAAGTTTGCCTTCGCCATTTGCATCCACCTGATAACCAGAAAGGAGCGGGTTGCCTCCATCACAGGGGCAAGGCAGTAAACAAAGAGGCCTCTTCTATGCCCTCAAGCATTTGGCCCTTCATGTGACTGACTGTACTCCGGTTGATATCTATGATCATCAAGTTTGGAAGAACTGGAAGCCACATGCTGCCTATGAGCACTACCCTGATCTCTTTATTGGTTTGGAGTTTGAGGATTTTGACCAGGTGTGCGTGGTGCAAAGCTGTTGGAACTGTTCATCGGTGCTTGGCAGTCGAAAGCCGAATGGCTGTGTTAGCGATTGGAACTGGTCGGGCGAGCAGCCACGCGCGCGCAAGAGCAAGAGGCTAGCTGTCTCAACGGACACTTGGGCACCCCCTCCATCATTCTGAGCTCTTGTGCGGACCAGGTCAAATCGTGTGACCAAGGCGTCGATGCTTTCTCCTTGCCGTCGTGAGAGGGACAGCAAGTCTTGGGCTGCTCGAAGGCGGCTCTCATCGTCCAATGGTGCGAATCGATTGGCAATGAACAAGGTATGACACAGGATCCAATTGCCTCCCGTTGGATACTCCACCATTGAACAGCTCGGCAGGTGTGATCTGTCGCGCCAACTCGCGTGCGGGTCCTGCGAGTTGTGAGATGATCATGGCTGCCTGCTGATGCGGCTGCAGATCGGTGGATATGCTCCGCAGCATCAGGTCTTGTGACCATGCACGAAAGGTTTGATTCGTGTCTGATGGGTCGTACCTTGGCGGCAGACGCATGGATGTTGCTCCTGAGAACATAAGGCACAACGTGGCCACTATCATCATTGGCAGTATCAGGAGTAGCCAGGGCATCCATGTATGCTCGAACGTTGTGATGCTTGGCAGCTGCATGTCCGGCATCTGGCTCAGTGCCTCTACATGGGTTGCATTGAGCACCAAAAAGGCAAAGAAAAGCTTAACTCTTGCAGTGCGAATGGCATGTTTGGCGCGGTCAATGATGGGCCCTGATGTCGGACGCGGCCAACACGAACAAGCTCTCTCGCCGGGCGGCGACTGCGCAGGTAGATATGAGTACCTTTAATGCAACTACAATGCACAGTGCAATCATGAACAATGGTAGTGGTAGTAGTGCGAACGCTATCAGGCGAATGAGCTCTTCTTGCTGGCGTTTTGAGTGATCCAAGGGCTGATCACTCTGACTGGTGGTACTTGGGCCTGAGGACGCAGTGACAAAGGTATTGGTAGAACTTGGCTTGGGAGACGTAGTGCAAAACGTACTGGTAGCGCGTGTCACTGAGGATGTAGTGCAAAATGTACTGGCAGTGCTTGTCACTGAGGATGTAGTGCAAAATGTACTGGCAGTGCTTGTCACTGAGGATGTAGTGCAAAATGTACTGGTAGTGCTTGTCACTGAGGATGTAGTGCAAAATGTACTGGTAGTGCAAAAGGTGAATGTATTGTAGACGGATGGCGTGTTCGTGGTGGACATTGGCAAGTGAGTGGAACTTGAGTGCTGTGACAGGTTTACCCCCTGTACGCAAGTGAGCGCAGCACAGCATTGAGTTGTAGCGGTAGTGGTATCTCGGCGGCTCTAGGTTCACGGCGTCGTCGAAGGTGATCGGCTTTGCATTCACCTGAGTCGATCGAGCGACAACGACAGTTGACGAGTTCGGAACGGGCCGGACCGATGGCATGCTTCCCGGGAGTTGGGAGACACTGCATGAACATGTTGTGACATGGGACAAAGACGGACCGAAGTGGCTGGGGCAAGCAGCCTCAGCACGGCGTGCAAACTTGTGGGACAGCGACGGGCAGAATATGCCTCCGTCCGAAGACGTGACACTCCTTGCTATAGCAGGCTCCTGGACCTGTGCTTCATCGGCGGTGTTGGGCATCAAGAACACTCTGGTCGACGAATCGACGGTCGCCGGAGCGACGCTGCACGATGATGAGCACAGCCAGGACGCGCGCTTGCTCCCAGGCGGCTGGGAGACATTGTGCGGTTGCACATGGACCAAAGACAGGGACAAACCGAATTGGCTGGGTTGAACAAACCCAGCGCGGCGCGATGATGCCAGGGACAAAGACGGGCCGAATACACCTCCATGGGCAGGCGTGGTGCTCTCGTGGGGCGGAACCTCGAAACCCAGGGGTTCAAGAGAACCTCCGGGCGCTGCCGCGCCATGCCTGGATGGTATCCCCCCAGGCGCGGGAGGAGGGAAACCACCAGGAGGACCACCAGCATCATCGCCCCTGGACCAAACCCAGGGGCTCCGCTACCAACCGGAAACAAAACTAGGGGCTACGAACAGAAACCTTACCAGCGGTCTTCACAGGCCTTTTTACTTCACGCTTGGTCAACCATGCTGCGGGTATATGTACATCGAGTAGTACTACAACAATTCACCAGCACGAAACATATTGAAAACTCACATGCCCATAAGAGTCATAAGAGCAATGCGTATTCAGTTCACGTCCACATCTAGGTGGGGCTTGACGCGGTTGAACCTCTCATGTTGATCAGCAAAGTCTCTCGAAACATCATTCTTGACAGGGTTGGGGAGGATCCCAACTAAAATGAGGGAGTGCTAAAGTGCACTAACTATATGTCTTGGGTATGTATTTCTTGTTGCCCAGGGTTCGAGCAAACATTGAAACATTGAAGAGTACGACAATGATTGGTGTGTTTCAATCGTTAAATTGTCGTCCTGAGCATGTGGAAGGTCGGATGGGTTCAAACCATTCCCGGGCGCAACCCGCGACAGCTGCAACACTAAGGCCATGGCGGAAATCCACGTGGAAAGCGTGAGCCTTGGGTAGGAGTATGCGTAGGGCCGATACTTAAGAAACGCAAAAAACCTTTGGGCAGTTTCTTGGGCAACGGAATAACTTACAGCAGACTTGGGATGGGAATCGCGTTGACCCCACTGAAGCTGGGAACAGCATGATTACATTGTTTGTTGAAGCAGCTCAGAGCTTTGACGAAGCAAATATGATGTTGGGACTGAGAGACTCAGTGGCCTTCAAGTTTATAAGTTATAAGTTATAAGGTTCAATAGGTAAAGCAGCCGTCCAAGGATGCATCTTTCTCATCGTTCGGGGTGTATGTATGTTATCATGTAAGCTGAAAAGCATCGTTTTCTCGACTTTCAAAGGGCCAGTAGGTCAGGCGACATGACCGTTCACTGGAATATGCGCGGTCACATTGGTGTGAAATGGGTCTAGCTTGAGCCTTGGTTCAATTTGTCTTCATCTTGTTGTAGGCCTAGGCCATCATTCATGCCCTCGAGGACGACATCTTTGAAGGTCTTGTCAAATGATGTCAAATGAAGCCTCTTGGACTGCTCCACACAAAAGAACTCTGAAAGCCACCGACGCTGAGAAACTCTTTCATAGAGTCAGAATGGACGCAGCAACTCCACATGGAAGGCACCAAAAACGGCAGCGCGGAAGAGAATTGCGTCATCCCAGTGGAACCTAGTTCAGCTTCCTAAAGCAGACATTTAGAGCAGTAGCCCTTCCAACTTCCAGCGAAGTAGGCGGTGGGCAATCTCCACCGGCGAAGCATGACAGCCAAGCTTCTTGAATGTTCCATGAGTCCACACTTCATCATGGCAAATTTCCAAGTTGTGAGCCTGGCTTTCATACCCAGGGCAGATCGCACCTCCATGGCAACGCCCTTCCCCTCCGTAGCCTTGGTCTTCACTATGTGGGGCACGGGCCACCCTTCTCAGGAATCGGGCCAGGCGTTGAATGTCTTGATGGCACCGTTCGAGGTTTTGGCACACTTGGGTGAAGCTAAGCAGCTCTTCAAGTCTTTGGCGAAGCGGACCTTGACTCTAGCGACGGTGGGAGAGTCTTCGGATGCATCATAGTCGACATTGGATTCTTTCGGATTTTGGAGCGGTCAGGCGCCGACGTGAGCTGATCCGGCGATGGTGAGCTCCTTCCCATGAATCGCCCTGCCTTCCTCATTAGGCCATAATCCAACCCCAACACCTTGAGCACAAAGGTAGACAAAGGCGCTGCTTTTGATCCTACTCTGAGGCCGTCAGGGATGCCTGTGTGAGTTGGATCGAAAGCATGGCAAAGCCTTCCATTGGAAAAGCCAAACACCGCTCTATTTTGTGCAACAGGATGCAACAGGTGTGGAACCCTCGCGTTGAAGCTACCCCTGGAGGCAACCTGACCAGAAGCCTGCAAATCGAAGCCCTTTTTGCCCCGCCTTCGGGTGCACTTTAGGCTTCTCCATTGACGCCGCTCGGATAAGTCGAAATGGCCTTTGTGGGACAGGCTGATGGTAGTCAGTCATCGGTGTCGGACTTAGTTGCCGTTGCTTCTGCAGCAGCCATAGGCCCGCTTCATGACCATGAAGACCGAAAGAATTCCAGCAGGAACGGTCATATATGCGCCGTTGGCGCTGATCCTGCGGCGCAGGCATTCCTGATCCGGCTGGTGATCTTGAGCCCGAGCAATCAAAAACCAATAAAAATCACAGCCAAGACTGCCAGCTATCGCGGTCCACTATATAACTGCTTGGACCCACCTCACTTTCGCCCCGTCAGCTAGGGAGAATCACCAAATTTGGCAATCACAGCTACTTACTTCTCTCTGTGCGCAGTATTGAAAAGAAAAGCGCCGCGAGATGGTTTGTATCGCTCGAAGGCTCAAGACAGCGTGGCCACGCTGTACTTCGCTGGACTGAAGTGATTGCAAATTTTGTTCGGGGCATGCCCCTCAATACAAAAGGGAAAGCTCAAACTATCTACATATATAACCAGTGTAACATGCACCCATGGGCCGGTCCTCGACTTGAACGTCCCCACCGCTGTCTCCTCCACTTATTAAGCGCCGAGGAACAAAATGAATGCCATGTCGTGACAGTTGGACAACGGCGAGCCATACTTTGCTGGCTGGTGTGGACGGCATTTGGCCGCCAAATGGCTGCAGAGCCTCGCAATTTGCTACACTACTCCAGCGGGGATGCACCAACATTGGCAGCCATTTCCGAATTAATTTCCGAAGGCACTGTTTTGGGGAAGAACCTTTCAACTCACAAGGCAGTAAGGTGAAGCGCAATGCAGTGAGGCGACGCCGTTTAAAGTGCGACATGGTGCGGTGAAGTGATTCGCCGTGGTGGCATGGTGTCAGGCAGTCTGCAATGACGCGACATCTTGTGAGCCTGAGTTGCGACATTATGCCTGACATTGGGCCCTGGAAGTGCCTGGTTGCGCTTCCAACCGCCCATGAACCCATGATTGAGATTGGTACACTCACCACTAGCCAAGGGAGTCAGTGACCCCCCCTCCCCAACGTGGCCGAGCATAGGTTCCATGTTTCGAGAATAGGGATCATGGCCCAATGTAGTTGGAGGGTTAAAAGACTGCTGCCATTTTGCGGGTCGGGTAAGCTGTGAGAGAGCTTCAGGAAGGAACACGATCTGGAACGGGTTCTTGTGCTCTTGGAGCCAAGGGAGTCAGTATGAAAGGAAGATAGGGGCTTGAACGTCGCAAATTGATGTATCTTTTCTCAAGGTAGCTCAAGATCGCGCAAGATAGGCCGGACATTCGGCTCAAATGGAGCAGAGATAAGCAGAGATAAGGTCAATTAACGGTAACGTGTTCTCCTAACGTGGCCCGACATAGCTTCCATATTGCCGAACATAAGTCACTATCTGAAGCATGTTCCCTCGAGACCGGGACCGTCCTTTAGATAGTGACTTCTAGGGCTATGTTAGGCAATATCTTCACTCTATTCCAGTCCCTTTTGAGCCTTCGTTGGGCCGTGTTTGCGGCGTTCAAGTACCTATCTCGGGGAAGCATACTTGAGATAGTGGCTTCTGGGGTTATGTTCGACCATATGGGAGCTATGCTCGTGAGATAATGTTACCGTTCCTGGACCTGATCTGCTTATCTCTGCTTCTGTGGAGCCAAATAGATGATAGGCAATATGGACGTGGAGAGGGTGTTTGCGACGTTCGGGGCCCTATCTCGAGAACACATACTTGAGATAGTGCCTTCAGGGGCTATGTTCGATCATATGGAAGCTATGCTTGTGAGAAAATGTTACAGTACCATTCCTGGACCTTATCTTTCCTTATCTCCACCATTCCTGGAGCTTATCTTTCCTTATCTCTGCTCCTGACCAGCCACGTACCCGGACGTTCAAGTCCCTATCTCGAGGAGACATGCTTGAGATAGTGACTGTGCAGGCTTTTCCAGTCCCTTTTGAGCCCTCGTTGGGCCATGTTTACGACGTTGAAGTCCCCATCTCGAAGAAGCATGCTTGAGATAGTGACTTCTGGGGCTATGTTCGATCATATGCGCGCTCTGCTCGTGCGAAAATGTTACCGTTCCTGGACGTGATCTCTGCTTATCTCTGCTCCTGTGGAGCCGCTATGTTTGGCCACGTTAGGGGGGTTTTATATTCCAGTTTACGACGTTCAAGTCCCTATCTCGCAGACACGTCCTTTAGATAGTGACTTCTAGGGCTATGTTAGGCAATATCTTCACTCTATTCCAGTCCCTTTTGAGCCTTCGCTGGGCCATGTTTACGACGTTCAAGTACCTATCTCGCAGACATGTCCGTTAGATAGTGACTTCTAGGGCTATGTTACGCAATATGGAAGCTATGTTGAGCCCCGTTAGAGGAACCTGTTCAGCCAAATGTCCGGCCTCAGTCCAATTACACTTTACCGCTCAGATGATGCAGATGATGCAAAGCAGAAAATTGCATGAATTGCGTCGCTAAAGGCTTCAAGATAGCAAAGATTAGCGCGAATTTATTTTCCAGCACTTTAAGCCGGTTCCAAAAAAGTGAAAAACACAGGATTCTAGAGCGAAAATGCCCCCCCCCCTAGCTAAAGCTATAGTACTTGCGGTACTTGCGGTATAATGCGCGCCTTATAAAAACGCCTCGGCACCTTCGGTGCGGGCGGACTTTTGAAACTGATTCACGATGCTACGCGAGCATGTGCAGCTTGCAAACGTGGTTGCTACGGAGGCGGCATTACATACCGTGGCGTGACAACTTTGTAGATCTTTGTAGTGGAAATGCCACGCTTTGTGATGGAGGGCGCGCGCGAGGCTTGGTGTTACATTGTGGTTTTTGAATTTGCCAACCTATGGCACGTGGCGCGGCAAAATTACATTTGCGACGTCGCTGTGCCACGCGGCTTTGCGCGGCCTTGGTGGAAAGTGCCTTTGTCACTGGGGGAGGGGAAACGGCGTAAGTGCGGCGCGGCGCTGGATGATTGACGGCGTGGTGCCCAAGAGGCTTGGTTTTACGTTGTTGTATTTTCTCGTCTGTGGCACACAGGACGGCGAACTTACGTCTGTGCCATGCGGCTTTGCGCGACCGCAGTGGACAGTGTGTTTGCGCGGGGGGAAGGTAAACGTGCTATAGTATACATCTGTAAACGGCGTGTCGCTGGGGAACGGGATGCTTGGCAGTGATGTGGCTGCGCCGTGCGGTGTTGCGTGGCCTTGGTGGAAAGTGCATTTGCGTGAGTCCGTGCCACTGGAAAGCATGCTGGCCGTGTATAAACGCGGCGTGTCACTGGGGAGCGGGATTTTTGTTGGCGCCCACGAGGCTCGGTGTTACTACACATTGTCGTTCCCAGTCTGTGACACACGATGTGGCGAAGTTACGTCTGCGACGTCGCTGCGCCGCGCGGTTTTGCGCTGCCTCGCCGGAATGCGCGTCTCCGCGCCACTCGGGGAGGGAAAAACGGCTGGCGTAAACGCGGCGTGTCGCAGGCGAGCTGGATGATTGGCGGCGCCCACGAGGCTTGATGCTACAAGTTATATCCAGTCTGTGGCACATGGTGTGGTGGAAAGCGCGTTTGCGTGAGTCCGCGCCATTTGGGGAAGGAAGTAAACGCGGCGCGCCGCTGGGCAGCGGGATGATGCACGGTGGCGGCGAGGTCATGTCTTTGATGTTGCCGCGTTGTGCGGTATTGCGCCGCCTCGGTGGACTCAGGCTTTTTTTAAACCTAGGTTGGCGTGTGGCACCGCATTCAGTTCCGTACACCAAATCACTTTTTACTCACAACCCCGAACTCCAAACCAAGACGATTGAAATACAACCCAGAAACAAACGCAAAATTGAATCAAGCCCTTTCACGAGACACTTTACCCAACATAGACTCAGACTGAACGCCACCCCTGACATCACTGGACCAACAACACGCTTTGAGGATAGATGATAAATAATGATAAATCATTATCTTTGTCTTCGTTTTCGCTTTTTGTTCTTTCCAGCTGCATGGAAGCGCACCAAGCACTACATAGAATGTCCCTGAAGTTTTTGCTCTTGTGGTCAGTCTACATCAATAGCTTTCCCACCAGTTGGTGATGCAGCGGCCTCACCTGTCGAGAAACATTGCAAGGAAGTGATTGAGTGATCATGGTTTTACAATCGCCCGAAACGAGATTTTGCAATCAAGAAGCTTTGTCCCAAGACAGAATCTGCAAGCTTCGCGAGCTCCTCTGTCTTTGCCTGGAGCTGCAAACACATACAAAACACGCTTTTCGAATGACCTGCCAACAAAAACAAACGAACCTGAACCAATCCCAACAAGGGCCAACAGGAAGCCAACTGCCAACAGAAAGGAACCAGTTCAAAAGCATTCTTTCTATCCCTTTCGCCTCCAAGTTTTCACGTGTCAGAATAGAGTCATCCAGTTTGGAAAGCTTGGACTGCTGTTCTTTCCTCGGCAAAATTTCAATGTTGTGGCTCAAAGCTCTGAATTGAGCAGTATGTCCGAGGAACATATCAGAAAGCCACAAAGTGACCTGAAATAGATATCGGCAAAACATTAATGCACGGCAACACACCGGCAATCTTTGCTTTGCACCTCTTCACATGTCTTCTCAAGGCTTTGCAGCTTTGCATTGTCAGTGATGCTCCTGCTTGGTCTTTTCGCTGCAGCCTCCATTGGCACCATGTGGGGCCGTCAGTTCTATCACCTACACCCTTGTAGAAAACACCCGAGAGAACTCACATCCTTTCGGGCCTTGAAGCGGTCTATTGACTTTTCCAAGGTGTTAACCAATTCGGGACGTAGGTTGTCATCACGGTAGCCTTCGTGATGTGGTCAGGCACAACCCCTTTTTTCGCTTCTTGAAGCAACACTCGTTGCATGGCAATCCTGTGCAGCCTGGACACGAGATTCTGGTGGTCCACCAACGACCTGCTGGATCACATGCAATGCACTACTTTCAGAAAGCCTATATTTTGAAGCACCACCGGCAGCATTCCCATCGCTTATGCGTGATATAGCCGATGTGCATACCAAAACTACCTCCATGATGTGAAAACCTGACAACACAGGGAATGGCAAAAGTCTTCGCTGTGTGCTGTAGACACGCCTTTAGTTCAGCCAGCTTCTTGACGAAAGACTCCTTGGGATCGTCCGGGTGGTCATACAACCATTCCTGCATTTCAGAAACATGTGTCTTCTTGTAAATGTACGCATAATGCATCCGGCTTGGGAGAGCAGTGCCAGGTAGAAACTGTCCAGCTGCCATCCAACTCTGACAGGACAAGAAACATATTCATATAATTCAATGGATCTTGTCCTCAGCACTTTCAAGTTGCTTTGAAAAAGCAAGGCAATCTTCAGCCTTCACACACCGGCCCCACGATTTCATGTTGCTGCTATCCCGGGCAGATCATTTATGTATGCAACATCTCCCAAAACTGCTCCTCAATTGCAAAGATACAAGCAATCATGCCAGCCCTGTAGAGCACTTGCCTTGATGTAGGCTGCGTATTTTCCACCTTCTGCAATGCCTGGCAGGGTTCGAGGCAATTACCTGAATCGCCTCATAGTTGCGCCACTAGCCAGGGTCACCGCTCCGCATCCGCAGGA